CGTGGGCGACTTCATGTTCTCGATTGCTTTGATCTTCTCGGGATTTGCCTCTATTCCTCTGCCAGAGACAAGGAATCCGAGTAGCTTGCCCGACGGTACTCCGAACGTGCACTTCTCAGGATTGAGCATGAGGCGATATCGTCGGAGGTTGTCGAACATTTCCCGCAGATCGTCAATCAATGAGTCGCTTGTCTTGGTTTTGACAACGATGTTGTCAACGTAAGCCTCAACATTGTTGCCAAGCTGGTTGCTAAGTGCGCCCTGGACCGTGCGCTGGAAAGTATTCCCGACGGTTATCAGTCCGAACGGCATCTTAACATAGCAAAATACCCCGAACGGCATGATGAATGCTGTCTTCTCTTCGTCCTCTATTGCCATGCTGATTTGGTGGTAGCCAAAGTAAGCGTCGAGGAAGCTCAATAGCTTGCAACCGGCTGTTGAATCCACCAATTGATCTATTCGAGGGAGAGGAAAGTGATCCTTGGGACACGCCTTGTTGAGGTCGGTGAAGTCGACACACATTCTCCATTTTCCATTGGCCTTCCGCACCATGACTGGATTGGCTAGCCACTCTGGATGAAGTACTTCTCTGATGAAGCCAGCTTTGAGAAGTTTGTCGAGCTCTTCTCGTATGGCTTGTTTCCGGTCTGGTGCAAATCTCCGCAGTCTTTGCTTTACTGACTTGGCATCGGGTCGCACCATTAGTTTGTGCTCAATCACCTCCCTAGGGACCCCCGGCATGTCGGACGGTTGCCAAACGAACATGCAGGCATTATCGCGGAGGAAGGTGATGAGCGCGAGTTCCTATTTCTCGTTTAGTGTCGCCCCGATCTTGACAGTCTTGTCGGGATTGGCACTGGAGAGTGGAACGATCTTGATGGCGCCGTCCGGCTTCGGCGTCTTATTTGTCTTGCTCACTTTCTTGGGTGGCTCAGTTGTGGCGGGTGGGCTGGGCGTTTGCTCGACTATGTCGAGGCTCCGCTTGTCGCACTGCACTGCCAGCTTTGTGTTCCCCTGAATAGTGATTGTTCCCTTCGGTCCCGGCATCTTGAGCACTTGATACGCGTAGTGAGATATGGCCATGAACTTCGCAAGTGCAGTTCTCCCGATGATGGCGTTGTAAGCTGTATCAAATTCAACGACATCGAAGGTGATCTGCTCTGTTCGGAAGTTGTTGGCTTGGCCGAAAGTCACAGGCAACGTAATCTTGCCAAAAGGTCTGGATGATGATTGGGGAGTAATTCCATGGAAGGGTTGATCAGTTGGTGTCAACTCACTTTGCGGAATTCCCATTGCGTCTAGAGTACTAGCGAAAAGAAGATTGATCGAGCTGCCACCGTCGATGAGAACTCGCGCTACTTTGATGTTCCGAATAATGGGTTCGACCACGATCGGATATCGTCCTGGGATAACGGCGGTCTTGGGGTGGTCTTCTTTCGAGAACTCTATTTTCTGCTTAGACCACTTCATCTTGGGTGCAGCCCCCCGCCATGTCGAACAGACTTCACGTTCCACTTTCTTGTATTCTCACTTGGAGGAGTACGTTGTGGAGCCGCCGAAAATGTGTGAGATGTGGAGGTCGGAGTCTGGATACGCATAATCCGATTCGTGAGGAGCCGTCTCTTCGTTCTTCTCGACAATGCGTACTCGCTTGCCTTTTTCAAACGCCATGTGCTTCTCGAGCGACTTTTTGAAAACAAGGCAATCTTCCAGAGAATGTCTGTCCGTCTTGTGTATGGGGCACCAAGATTTCTTTGTGTCGCTGCCTTGTGGGTCTGGGCGCTTGGGAGGGTTCGCGTATTCTGCTGCGAGGACTTCCGCTTGAGCTTTCCTTTTCCCATTTTTGCGATTTTTCTTCTTGCTTGACTCAGATGCGTCTGTGGCTGATTTCTTCTCTCCCCCGGTCTTCGGCTTGTCGTTCTTGCGTCTTAGCGCATCGTCCACATGGGCACATCGCTCAACGATCTCGAATAACCTCCGAGTGGTTGTGATGCGTCTTGTCGCCAATTCCTGGGTAGTGTAGCGATCTCTGACACCGGATTTGAAGGCGCGGATTACAGAAGCGTCGGTGATTTCAGGAATTGTGTTTCTGCATTCGTTGAAGCGTCGAACATATTCCCTCAATGATTCACCTGAGTTCTGTGTCAACGCGTGTAGGTTGTCTTCGATCGCGTGGCGCTTGTACGTTCCTTGGAAATTGGCAACGAATTGTTGCCACAGGTCTGCCCACGAAGAGATTGAGTAGGGAGGAAGATGCATCAGCCATGAACGTGCAGAACCCTTCAACGCGGTTGATAAATAGTTCGCTAGCGCGTTGTCGTCTGCTCCGGCAGCATAGAGTACTGTGGAGTAGACTTGAAGGAATTCTTCTGGGTTGGTGCTCCCATCATACTTTTCAATTGCTCCGGGTCGGAATCTCTCAGGCCATCGGACATCACGTAGGGAACGACCGAAAGCCCTGCACCCAGCGTTGGGGGCGGTGGGTTGTCAGCGGTCGTGTGTCCTTCGTGGATGTCTGTCTGACGATGAGGAGGACGCAGATGATGATGATGACGATGGGTCACTTGGTTCCGGCGTACGATTACGAGTATGACGGCCTGGATCTCGGGAATCCTATCGTTGTCTCTCGCTGTTGTCTCGGCGCCGATCTCCATTATTGTCGTCGTTACGGCGGCGGCCATGACCAGTATTGTCTGGCCCCCGTCATTCGCGATCGTTGCGATTGCGGTGGTTGTCGTGATCCCGGTCCTCGTTTGAGCGGTCTCCTCGATTTCCGTTATCATGGCGCCGTGAAGAGACATGACGCCGAGAGCGATTTACATTGTCTCGTGTGCGTCGTGCTTCTCGGCGGCCGTTGATTTGATCTCGGAGATCGCCAGCGCCGCGAGGTGGAGGAGTGGCTCGTTGAGGTGATTCCCTCCGTTCCGGATCTTCACCATTGGCGTCGCTAGTTGGCGGCTGATCTTGGTGCGCTGCGGTAGCGACTTCTTCAAACGCGTTGCTAAGGTTGGTCACCGATTCCCGTAGTCGTTCTGTCAACGCTCGAGGTCATCATTCAGAACGGGATCGTAAGGAGTTTCCCTTAGTAAGGCTTGAACGGCCCTGATGTGTTGGGCTGGAGTAGTCGATTGATTCGCCGCTTCTGCGTTGGCTTGCGTTGACGTGCCAACGTCATCGATAGCCAATACCTCCTGCGGCACGCTCATTGTCGATGACCCATAGTCTTCGAGAAGATGTAAGACCGGTGGTTCATGAGGATCGATATCGATTACCTCAACGAATCGATCTGAGGCTGGAGTCGCTCCTTGTTCCTTGCCGTTATCCCTGACGGGGACGTATGACTCAGGAGACGGAGCTTTCATGGCGCCGAGGAAGACTTTGTAGCTCGAGAGGTTGTGATTCTTTGTCTTGTGAATAGGACAATAGACATCCCGAGTTGGAGAAGTACGCTGAATTCCACGTTCTTTGCATGCGCGAATTTCAGCATGGACGTTGAGGAAAACCCAGCAATCTTGCAGGGTGTGTTTCTTGGTTTTGTGGATAGGACACCAAGACCTTGTGGCTTCGGAAGTCATCTTTGCCGGCTCGTGGTTCATGTCAGAAGGGCAAGGTTTGGCCGTATCAGAATCCTTCCCGAGCTTGGATGTCGTCGATGATCCGTTCTCCGTTTCGACAGGTGGATTTTTCGACATGAAGTCGCCTTGGTTTGTAGCCACTGCGTTCTCGTTTCCGGTCATTGGAGGACCGGTTGAGATCAGCGTCGTGGTGTAAAACGGGAAGACGATTTCGCCGACTTGAGTCCATACCAGCATTGTTGAAGCAGGGAGCGCTTGGCTGAGGCTGGTGTTGACGTTGTTGTCGACGAAGCTGGATGACATAGTAGTAGAACCTTGAGTACCAAATCCCCCTACCTGGCGCGCCACTGTCGACGGGTGATACCCGTAGACCGGATATAAAGGGTATTGGGGTACGTTGGTACAAGGATCTACGTAGTACGACATCGAACAATCAAAATACAAGAATTATACTGGTTCAGGCCCCTTGGTAGGTAATAGCCCTAATCCAGTTGATATGGGATTATATGGTGGAAAACACAGGTTACAAAGGGAACGATGGAACTTGTCGGATCCGGCGAGATCGTAGTCGAGTGGATTCGACTAGCTCTCGATGACTTGGCTCCTCGCAGACTTCGGCTTTGTAGGCTGTGTGCGTTGTGTTGGCTCTGAGATTCGATGATCTATGCCCTCCCCGGGGGGGTCCCTTTTATATCACAGATCTGGAGGTCTCCAAGTAGGACTCGGAGATATCAGACCCAATACGATACGTCGACGACCTAGTTCTGTCCGAGAAGGACTCTTCCCATCAGTAGATTTCGTGAAAGGTTTCCTTAGGATATGTAGAAAACATCCGCGTGCGCGTGGGTATGCCATGTCGATATGTAACGTATATCGAAGGGTAGAGGGTATGCCTGACCCATAACCCTGACAACATGTCCTTTGTTTTAGACTAGGGCAGTGTTTTGCCACTTAGGACAAGTGACTTTGAGTCCTAGTTAATTAGTGTCTACTAGGTGTCATTGTCAATCTGTGTTTGCACAACTTCTGCTAAATATGTTGGTTTTTATGATGTGTAGAACTTGAGATATCTTATATCTTGTTGTATGCATTGCATGTCACTAGTTAAACTCAGTTTTACCAAGAAGAAGCTTCATTCTCTAGTGCATATTGCTGGCTTGATTTAGTTGTGTCGACGTTGTTCAGGTGGTCTCAACTCTCAACCTTTTTCTTGGTTTATGCTTTCCATGCCCTGAACAGTAAGTAGTAACATAAATCATCAGCCACCAATTAACTGAAAAAAGCTTTGTTGTTCACTCGAAAAAAATATGGCAAAAAGGGATCAGCCACGTGCCCAGGAAGTGAGTGTTGCCCCGTCATTGTCGCCAGAAAGCGAAGAAAAGCAAAGCAAATCTAATCGTTTCTCTTCACTCCAAAAATAGCAAAGCAAACACATCCGTCTCTCTCTCTCTCTCTCTCTCCCCTACTACTATCTCCTCCTGCCCTTCCAATTTATGTTACAAACAAATCGTTGGTTCCTCTTTTTTCTTCAGTTTGTTTCAGTGCAACTCAGTTCTTGGAAAGAAAGGTTGGATTTTTACTCTGAACAAAGCGAAAGGTAAAACCATCTCTTTTGTAATGCAGCAATTTATGTATATTTTGGCGTCCTTTCAGTTATTTTGTTTGATCAGGTGTGGCAATGGGCGGCAGCGGAACGCTGATCTCCATTTACCCTGAGGATCTCACTTTCCTATGTAAGTTCAGAGGACTTCTTGAGATTATCTAATGTTGTTAACATTTACGGATGGTTAGCCTTAACCCACTTGTGTGGGTTCTTCACTCCATTAAATTCTCGTGTGTAGTTGAGCTGGATAAGCGGTGCTATTGCAATCTCAAGGTGGTGAACAACAGCGAGCATCATGCTGCATTCAAGGTCCATGGCCTTCCATTTCATGACCAATATTTTCTAAAACTTGGCGAGAAGGCTTGATGAAAGTTTGTTTCATGTCAAGACGACATTACCGAGGAAGTATTTTGTCCGGCCGAACACGAGCATTGTCCAGCCATGGGATTCTTGCACAATAACAAGTAAATAGTACCTTCGCCGCATAATAAGTTAATCTAATACGAGATGTGACATATCCCAGTACTTGTCCAAATTCATAGTACTAGTATATATCACATCTTGTATTAGATTAATTTATTCTGGGACGGAGGGAATACATGTTCCTAATTTGGCCATTTTATGGTATGCCAAGCCATGGCTCTCTTCAGGCTCCTTGTTTGGTCTTGATATTTGGATATCTGCATTGTTCTTGGGTGATGTAGTTACGCTCCAGGCACATAAATAGTGCCCACCAAATATGCAATGCAAGGATAAATTCTTGATCCAGAGCACCAAGCTAGTAGCTACCAGTACTGACATGGATGAGATTCCCCCCAATACTGTGAGCATAAAATGCAAATAGATGATTTGCAAGCTTTATTAGTGATGCATTATTGTTACAATGACATGACTACTGACCCACCAACTATATGCCATTTTTGTATCGGTCCAGTTCAACAAGGAAGTCGATAAGGTGATTGAGGAAATGAAGCTTAAGGTTGTTTATACAGTTCCCAGTGGAAGTTTTGATGATTCTAGTATTACATCTTGTCGAAACTAGATTTCGGCAATAATAAAAGGGGGTGGCTATCAAGCTGGAAAAGTGTATGGGTTTGGAGACAAAGGATTTATACAGGTTCAGGCCTTCTTATTGAAGAAGTAATACCCTACTCCTGTCCGGGGATGAATCCGCCGAATGTCTTATTGATTATATGATTTGGAGAAAATCAACATCTGCCGCTAGAGGCACCCGGACCCCCCTTATATATGGGAAGAAGTCCGTGTTACAAAAGATAATCTATATCCCTAACGGAATATGCAGATACAGATAAAATACAGTCGTAGCCGACTAAGTCTCAAGGTATTTCCTTGATGTACAAGTTGAGAAACAAACCCGAGACACAAATAAGATATTCTATCTATATTTGGTATCCTGTATTCAGTCCAAATACCATCGCCGTGTAGATATGGGATATCCATAATCTCCACAGTAGCCCCCACGACCTTTGCAGTCAACCATCATAGCCTTCTCAAAGATAATGATCCGAGTGCTTCAAACATTTCATGCCAAGATCTGCCGAGTAGCGAAGACAAAGACTGTAAAGGGCGAAAAGATAAAGAATATGGTGCATCGAATAGATGCACCTAATTAGGTGTAGCCCCCAACTATGTGATTAGTTAACAAACTAAACATATAGTTGAGAACAAAATAATAGCACAATCATGCATCATATGACAAAAGCATACGCGACGCCCAAAGAGGCATTCTAGCCGACTGCTTTTTAGCCATAATAAAAAGAATCCGAGTGGTTAACACTCTAAAAGGTTCACGAATGAACACACTTGACGGGCATCCGAATAGAAAATTCTAAGATTACCCACCAAAAATTATAAAAATTATGGTAATGAATAAGTCTAATAGCCTAGGCTATGACTATTTACCATAATGAGAACAGGCATATAACATACCAAAGAAACGACTATGGTAAAAAACAAGTCATTCCAAGTTAACCCAGACAGCTTTTGTAGCCTAAAAAAGCTTACAAAAACAGCATAACACCTTTCTGTCGGGCACCTTTTAATTTGCATTGCAATAATTCCAAAGAATTATATGACCACGTAAAAAGGATTTTATCAGCATTGGGCAACACTATTATGCGCATAGATTGCCAAAGCAAAAAATGCCTAAGTCCCTAAGGAGCACAATGGGCCACGCTGTCAAAAATACTGGGCTGAGGTACTGTTCAGGCCTAAGCCCATTTGCACCTCCGATACCCTTAACAAGAAATCCCGAGATCCAAGCGTCACTTCGTCTTCCCCGCCGGAACTCTCGCCATTTTCCCCACTCCCTGCTACAGTACAGAGCTGCGCCGGCAAACTAGGGTTCACCATTCCACTCGAATCCACCTTCAAAAAGTTCATCAAAATCCTTCCCGTGATCCGCCGCCTCAATCCCTCACCTCTCCCTAGCCATCCCTCGAATCAAATCAGCGCATTCGGGTAAAATCGATGGCGGAAGAGAAAGAAAGCTTTGAAGGCCAATGGGCGCCATCCGACGTGACGGAGGAGAACCTGAAGGAGATGGTGGCGCACGGCGTTCTTCCTGCCAAGGAGATCATCGGGTGGCGGCCAGCGTGCGGTGAGGCTTTTCCGTCCCCCGATACACACGAGGTTGTGGTCTTCTCTCATTTCTTCTATGGCGGCTTCGCTCTTCCGACCTCGAAATTTTTCCGCGGGATATTAAGCTTCTATGGAATCAGCTTGCATCACCTAAACCCGAATTCCATAGTCCACATCGCCAATTTCGTCCATGTTTGTGAAGCCTTCTTGGGAATTAAACCCCACTTCGCTCTGTTTCGCCGAATCTTCTTTCTCAAACCCCAACCGAACAAGAGTAAGCCATGTGTAGTCGGAGGGGCCGGATTTCAGCTGAGAGGAACTCTGAGCCAGAAGTACTTCTCAATGCCCATCAAGACTTCAAACAAAGGGTGGCATGCGAACTGGTTTTATATTCAGAATCCTGAGCCCGCTCTTCCTGAGTACTCTTGTCTTCCTCCGGTGTACCAAGATACCTGGAACTCTCTTCCTATTGGGGATGAAGCAGCCCAAGCCTTGGAATTGATGGATCGCATGCTAAAACTCAAAGAACAAGGCTTACAAGGAGAGCAGATTACTCGGCACTTCATCAAATGCCGATTGGCACCAATTAAAGAAAGATCCCGTACGGCATTCGAGTTTGACGGCAAGCATGATCCTAATCGTGAAGAACCAGACTCTCTGGATTTTAAAATCATGAAGGAGAGAATGTATAAAATCTTCTCAAATGCTATTGTCGTCAGCTACTCACATCAGCTGCCAGTTGTGCCATATAATGCATTCAATTCGCCTCCGCAGGTATGTATCTGAAACCTTCAACCCATGACCAAAACATAATCTTGTCTTCATGTTGAGTTAACTAACCATGGAGGCATCTCATTCAGGAATATGTATTGATGAAATCTGACCCCCCAATTACTCAGCGCCGGTCTCCTCGCCAGCACACCGTTAAGGGAGGTGGAGGGCCGACAATCAGATCGGACTCGCAACCTCAAACCTCCAATCCGACTGGGCAAACAGGTTCTCGCAAGAGAAAGCTGATGCTTAACGATGACGAAGGCGACGACGGCAACAAATCTGGGAACAAAAGCCTACCCAATAAACTCCCAAAGCATACCACTCCCAGGAAAAAACTGGCTGGCCGTCCAACGCCAAAGATCAGAACATCTTCCAGGCATAAACCTCTTGGTACCATTTCGCTCCGGTATGCTTCTCTCATGAAAATAATACTGAATATTGAAAGGACACTTTGCAGGAAACCATCCGACATAGATCCAACTGGAAAAGATCCTGATCCGGTTGTGACAGAGCCAAGTTCATCCAAGGATTCTGAGCCGACTGCCGAGAACCAGCCGACTGGCGCTCATACTTCAGGTGATACAGCCGATCCGAGTGACCAGCCTCCGACTGGAGACCAGTCGGCAGCAACTGAAACTACAACAACCCAAGAGCCCCCGACTGGAAACCAGTCGGACGTAGGTCCAGACCAAGAAATTCCCGAAGTTGAAGCGCAGACGACGACTTCTCAAGGACCAGAGGCTGGTAACGACGCTATGATTGGGTCTTCAAATAAAGAACAAGAATCGCCTCACGCTCAGCTAGGAACATCCTCGGGTAACTCATCTTCTCAAGTGATGCCGATTTGAATAACTCCAGCTTATTCGTCTAATATCTTGGAAATACATCAGGACCACCAGGCGATGACGAAGAAGAAATCCCTCGCATAAAGGCGGCTGACGACTCTCGTCCTCCTATCTTGCTCAAATGGTGGGACGAGAACTCACAAGCTGCCGGCATCGTCATAAATCGTCAAAAAGAAGATGAGGAAGTGTGCCAGCTGAAGAAGGCACTTGGAGAAGCCACTCGCATTGTGAATGTAAATCCTCTGGGTGACTGCCTTTGATGACTTTGTTTTCTCTTTAGCAGAACTAAACCATGAACCATCATGCAGAGAATCCATCTTCGCAATGAGGCCAAGACAGCAACTTTAGAAAAGCTGGTTCCTCATTTGGGAACTCTTGAAGCAGTCAGGGACCAGCTACACGAGGCCAAGGAGCTTGCCAAAAAGACAGAGAAGGAATTAAGGGACCGAATTGCCCAGCTCCAGGATTCAAACTTCGAGCTGAGTGGTTCATCAAAAGGTAATCTTCTAGATCTGTCCCATTAATTTATGTTGTCATAACTGTATCCTCAAACATTTGGATTTCAAACAGCGCAAGCCACCAGGATGGCTCAGATGGAGAAACAAATTGAAGTCTTGAAAAGAGACAAAGTAGAATTGGCTGCGCAAAGGGACTCGGCCTTGAAGGAGGTTGAAGGTACCGCCAGCTGACAATCTGAACTTCTCTCTTTTTAAGGCAGTAGATTTTGATCATAAACGTGTTTTGTAGACCGCAAAATCAAATCTCAAGCTCAATTTGACGTCCTGGTTGGTAAGATCAAAAAGCTTGAAGGAGCAAGAGATGAAGTCGCTAATGTCGCTACACCACTTGTCCAAGCTATGTTCCTCAATAACAGTGGTCCGAGTGCACTCGACGCAACCGAAATCTTCGACAAGCTGAGAGTTGCTCCAGATGTATATTTCAAGAATATCAAGAAAGCTGGAAGTATGGGAGCTAGCATGGCATTGGCGATGACCAAATCCTTGTACCCAAGGATTGAAATTGACGCCATTGATGGCTTTGCAGACGGGACAAGCGAAGAAGCTGCTCTTGATCTTATCAGCAATGCTCAAAACGCGGCTGACAAGATTGCAAGTGACGTTGTAGAGCAATTCCGCAATACCGACCTTCAGCCGAGTAGTAATAACTCTGATGATGAAAAAACTGATTCTGACTGAGTATGAATGTAACAAATGGAGGTTCAACTTGTACAATACTGGTGTATTTATGCTGTGTTTGATAATTCTAGCCAAGTCTTTGATTTCTTAAAAGCTTTTATCAAGCTTTGTTGAGCCTAGAACCCAAAGAAGCTATTAAAAACTTTCAGTCCTCGCAGACGAAGTAGAAAAACCAAACAAGGCAATGATAGACCAAGTAAGCAAATTAAATTGATAAAAAATCACACTCCATTATTATGATGATAGCCCCCGACTGACAACGTCAAGAAGAAAACTTGATGTTGACAGTCAAGATAGGGAAGTACAATGATAAGTTTAAGCGTAGAAACGACGAAGATGTTCAATGTTCCAA